CCACATCCACACCCACACCCCACACACACCCACACCCATACACCCCACACCCACCCACACCCATACCCGATTAGTTGGGAAAGAAGATAGGATATGGAGCTGACAAGTCACGAATGGCACCGACGAATGACTTGCCGTTTGTTTCTAAGATTGATATAAGCCTTTCTTTCGCGAAGCTTTCTTGAGATTTGACAATAGTTTCCAGAAGAGCTCGACCAAGTAGATAGGATCTGGAATCGGTGAGTTACAACTAGCGCCCTTGAAAGACGCTGATGAGCGACTCGCCATTCACTTACGAGGTAGACACGTCTTTTCTTGCGTAAAGCTTTGAATGAAATATAGAGTATTTTTCGAAAGAGCTGAGGCAATTGTTGTGGTGAAGATGACTAATACAAAATCATACCAATTTCTCATAAAAGCCAAAGAAATGCAAACTATGATGAGAATATCGCGAGAAAACTACATATTCTAAACTCGACATTATCAGTGTTGCTTTTTCCAAATTGCAAAAGTTAACAGACTTGTTCGTATGGTGTTGCCTATAGCATCACACAAACTGACGATTTATCTGATAATATTTGTCAAAGTGAATAGAATGAATTCAGTCGAGGGTGAAGTGAGTCGTAGCGACGAGCGTTACTTGTTACTTTTATACAAAGTATATATTGTAATAATTTTTTTCTATTGTGAGGTGTATGTAATCGGTTTATGCGATAATATCTCAAAAATAGCCGTGAGAGTATTGCATTTCAAAACCATGAAAAAATTATTACACCATATATGCTTTGTATAAAAGTAATAAATGATGAAAAATAAGAAGTTATTTTTCAAGTATTCTTCAAATGAAATTTACGTTTGATTTTACATAGGCAATCCGTTAACATTCTTTCTTATGTAAAACAAAACCTCATAAAGAATGCTTCAAAGCACCTTTTCGATGGCAGATTCGTCGCACAACACATTCTTGATTTGGAAGTACCAACACACTAGGCTTCTATGAGCTCTCATTATTGCGACCACTCACTCTTTCTTCTGCTGTGATTACCATTCTTTGGTTCTTGAGAGATTTCTTTTTTAAAATGCGAATAACTTAACGCCCACAGAAAGCCGATCAATACTATTTGCTACAAGGTTAAGCTAGTGAAGAAAAAAAAAGTAAATATGTCTCCATGCGTGTGGTAATCGCATCTACACAATACGACAGTTAAATTGACGATGAATACGTGTAGTTTCAGTTATGTGTCTCTGCTAAGCAGGCTACCACGTCGTACAATAGGCATTGAACGAACGTGGGGGTATATAAAGAAGAAATTTGGGCAACATGGCGATGGATTACCCTATCCAACGGCGAGATATTTTGAAACGATCGATCTGGGACCAGTAATCTTTGCTATTCACGACTTATCAGTCTACTATGAATATCAAGACAAATGGGTCAAGTACAGAAGTTCCTAAGACATTTTTTTCGACACGATAGATATTACACATTAGTTGATTCTTATGCGATGCTAGTTTTTAGGGGCACTGTTGTGTCATATAGGTCTGTAACGAAATATGATTGAAAAAACAACTTAATGAGCCAACATGATCGAACTATATGTAATATTTATTAGGAATAAATTGTAGTCATCGAAATTTTGAAAAAAAAACTAATAAGAACTAAATATTTCGCTTGTTTGACTAAATCTAGTTTTTCGATATCTATCTTTGTCTACTTCCCTGCTAAATAAACTGATGAGAGTTAATGACAATCATTTTTCTGATAAAATATGCAAGTTTATGTACATGTACAAACATGCTCTCCAACTGAGTAAATAGACGACTAAACTCTTACTTATCAGAATCTTGAATTCGAGTGCCAATGCATATTAGCTGCATTGAATGAGACGTAAAGCACCAAATATTATATCAATAAATACAAATCATCCAAACAGACATTATTGGAGCCAAAATCCACGAAAAAGGCTTTTAAATAAATATTTCCAATGGCAAAGCATTTCTTTTTAGATATCAGTAAAATACACGAACACCTCGATGAAACAGAAATCAAAGATCTAATCATACGAACGTATAGAGCATTCGAGGGTAGGCTCATGAACACCTCTTCTCGATATCTCTTCAAAGAAAATTTCGAGACTTCGAAGAAAAAAAAGGACCTACGAACGCCCATCAGCATTTGCGAACCCCTACAAACTCCAATTAATCGTCGTTTGTTAGTGAATAGTCCGTCTAGTCTGGAGCCTGATGATCGATAGTTGGTTTGAGAATTATAATGACACGGTGATTTCTGGCAACTTTTTTGTATGAATGTTTAAAGGCTAAGTTGTTCGAATTAAACAGGGGAGAAACAGCAGTCTTCAGTCTTGAAGCCTCACGAAGTCTTACAAAATATTTTGAAATCTCATGAAACCTGTCAGAGTTTCCTAAAGTTCCTGAGTTATAGCCTTAAATATATATTGGAGTCTTGGAAGGTCTTCTGAATTTCAGCGAAGACCATTGAACTCTCGCAAAGTCTTTTCAAGTCTTGAAGTACGCTATTTCGTCCTGGGAAATAAGATGGCCTGCATAGACTGCAATTCGTACTTTCTCAATGCTCACCCGTACCAGATGTATCTTGATACTAATAGAAGTTCTACTGTTAGCATCTGACTGATTTTGAAGGTCTTTCGTTTGGATGATGTTACGAATATATTATTATCAATATCCCATAGGTTTGTCAATGCTCTTACTTCAACTCTATGAACAATGCTGATTCTGAAATAAACTCATTCAAGCTGTATACATGCGTGTATATGTAAAGAAATAGGGAAGTGAGTGTCTTCACGTGAAAAATGAGAGTTTTTATTTTTGATACAATGACAAGTTCGAAAAAAGTGAGTTATCGTATGATTTTGAACGATTTAGTAATTAATTTTAATCGATTATAATAATTCTCTTGGTGCTGATTTTCCTTAGTATTTTTTATAAGAGGAAAACAAGAGAAGACTCTTAGAAAACAACATATACTTTCCACAACAATCGTTGATTCATCAAGTGGAAGTTAAAGTTATCATGAGACTAAAAAGAACAGGTTATGAATATATGCTGTTGCCGAATCCAGACTTTACAACTGAGCAGTGGCATATCCAGGATTTTTAGACCAATGGGCAAACTTCTCTTATGCTAGAAAAAAATGATGGATGAAATGGGTAAGGTTTTCATTAATGGGCCAAAAGTTTTTTGACCCAACCAAGCAGTGATAACGTAAAAAACACAGGAAAATGAAACAAGGTTCTTCTAATGAAATATGCATAAAAGAGTGTGAATCACTTTTGATAGGAACACGATAGAGAGCTGCGGTCTTCGTCGTTTAAAAGAGAAAAGAACTGCATCGAATCTTGAATATCAGATTTTTATGACAATATTTATTCGAAGTCTCCAGACAATTTTTGTAATAGAAACTATTGTGTAATGTGAATGTTTTAAAATTTTAATTTTCAGTAGTGCATCAAAATCGTTAACTAAAGTTCAATAATCTGTGTAGGTTCAATGCCAAAAAGATTTAGCAAACCATTAGTTCTTAACATTTTACTACGCGTTCTCGACAGATTCTTGGTGAAAAGCCGACTTTTTTCCTGATTGTTTGACGAAAAATTCACCTTCTAGACCTATTTAAAAAGCCTAAGTTTTTTAAAGAAGCTTGTCCAGAAATCATGAGAAATTTTGTTATAAAAATCTGGTATTCAAGATTCGATGCAGTTTTTTTCTCTTTTAAACAATGAAAATTGCAGCTCTCTATCTTGTTCCTATCACAAGTTATTCGCAATCAAAGACTACTCCGTTACTTTTGGACCATCCTGTATGCATTTTATTTTTTTTTGTTTGAAACAGCATGTCAAAACGTGCGGCACCAAAAAGTCCTTTTCCGTTAAGCTTTTTTCTGTTATATGTACAATCACTTTTATAAATTCAGCTCCATCTTTAGAGAGTTTTTTGACTCATCAAACTTGTAATTCCTTCTCTCCTTTCAAGAAATAAAAATTCAAAAAAAAATGAGTCTTTGGTGCCCTGCATCCTGACATGCTCTTTTAATAAATAAAAAAATTAAATATATATGCAGACCCGAGACCGAGAAATTTACGATGCCGAGTCTGCTATTTTTGAACCTTGTTTGATGAATATCTCTGTCAAACGTCATGATATAGAAGTGAAAATTTTACCATAGTTTCTCCACTGCAGCTACAACAGATTCTCTAAATGTCATGGCATTAGAATGTTCCTGGACTGAGATCGATTTTTAAGGATGAAGAGACTTTAAGACTGAGTTATGTATGTTTAGTCTATTTTGAATGTCTCTATTAATAAGATTTATATTTCAAATTCAAACGCCTAAATCAAGACGACGATGCTGCATTTGTGTATATAACTGCCATATTGCATCTGAATTTATATCGGGATCTTTATAGATGTATGCAGTAGCAAAGAAATAAACAATTCAGATAAAGTAAAATTTCAATGGGCAAATCTTAAAATGAAATGGGTAATTGCCCATTTGCCTTCCCCTTGGTTACGCCACTGGTGCGAAAAACCTTATAAACATACTGTTTTCTTGGCTTGGCTCAAACAAAACATCATTTTTGCCTCTTTCTTTTCAATAAAGGCAACCTTGGCTATATGCTGAGAGGAAAATAGCAGAAATTTTAGTCGTAAAGTCTTGAATTCTTGAAATTTATGGTTAGCCTTTTGAAGACTTTTGAATTGTTTCAAAAATTTGAAATCTCGAACTCTTAAAATTAGCTGTTTCCTCCTTGCTATATACCAAACAGCTGCTAGAATCTTATTACAGACATTCTCTCTCGTTCAAAACTATGATTCAAGTGTTCCTATGACTGTCGTATGTGGACGATATAAGTGAGTATGATTGTTGTTTGAAATGTATTTATTTCATTTTTTCTCAATAACGGTATGATCATAGTTTTCTCTGTGTATAGTTTAATCTAACATTTGAAATGATAAGCATCTAGGCAAACCCGATAGGCGTTGAGAAACAAAAAGATTGCTAATCTCACACTTCGGTCACCTAAGAAACTTTGTGTTTCGGTATATTCCGAGGAAACCTGTGTGATGAACGTTTTCTGAAAGAAAAGTAGACGTATTTGGCTAAAAAATGAAACTTTTTGATGCAAATAGTTTATTTTCTCAAAGTCACTAGTAAATAGTAGCGACCATGTGATCAGTCGATCTTATCCTTTCCCATTCATGTAATTGTTCGTGATATTTTTAAGACCTCTATCTTTCTCCTAATTGATCACGTGACTTTCAAACAGCTTCTATTGACTTTAAACATATTCTATATATTAATTACGTAATGAACAGATCCACTGAGTACTGGATGAGAGCAAAAATGGTGTACACAGTGAAGAAATATTCTTTTAGTGATTGCTGGAAGTTCGCGACAAAATTCATATTATCGTGAAATTCACGTTGAGTGAAACATTGATGACGAAATATTCGTAATTACCTCAATAGATGTTAAGTTTACAAAATCAAACGCACTAAGAAAGGATCCGATGTCTGACTTTTCCAAATTCTAATCGGAACTTGTCTAACCTATCGATCGGCCTAAAAATCGTATTTCTACTCAATTGTGATCGATGTGGATGGATAACATTGAATTTAACAGGAGACGTCAGGTATTAATTCTATATTTCTATCAATATCTTATTGTGTTCCAAATGTGTGATAATAATGAGACTGAATGAAAGGTCATTTGTTTATATGACTGCATTGATACCTCAAAATATATTCATTCATCTTATATCAAACGAGGAAAATCTGGATAAGCCATTCTTCATAGAAAATAGTATAATTTTCTTGTTGACAAATCTTTGAATGAATTCGAAAACTGACTGAAACCTTTCGCTTCCGATAAGATGTATTTCTTTATCGTGACACTGGATTTTCAAGTAAACTGAGTTTTTATGTTGTGTCTATAACAAGCGACTATATTTTAACAATGTAATATCTCGATAAAACAATGTTACTTTTAACTCAAAACTTTCAGTATATTCCAAGGATCACTAGATCCATCTACAGACAAAGTGTTAAGTCACAATTTTGTTACTCGATAAATATTTAAGAATTGTCGAAAACTCAGTAAAACAATCATAACTCCCTTCCAAAGATTCATGAGAGCTAACCATATTAGGTCTACGCTACCTTCTTATAAGCTCAATATAAACTCATTAGCTGATGTATTCTTCATAAGCGAATTCTATGAACAAACAAGAATTAACTCTTTCCATCAACAAATACATTCAATATATCTCTCTTTACATCTTCATATTTGTGAATTTTCTTCATTCTAAAAGCAGTGTTTGTTTTTTTCCTCACGTACTTGATGAGCTTGTGTTTTTATAACAAAATCTCTTGCAACTGGAAGTATTGGTTTTAAAAATGATCGTAGAAAATCTGTTACTAGAATTTCCAAAAGATGACAAACTTTTTGTGCAACTGTATCATCAGGTAATGTTGCTTGATCACTATTCATTCTTGTTTAAATTGCATAGTACCCATTTATAAAATGGCTGATATTGTTCAAAATATTGAATTTAAATCATCATTTGACATATTCATTATTTGCATAACTTTAACTGTATTTTGAAATTCTTCATCATCATCAATACCTATTATTGTAATATTATGATGTGTTAAATAATGATAACGACTAAAATCTTCTAATCAATAATCTGTAATTATCTTTGTACTAGAACCACGTAATAATTGATAAAATATATGAAATGTTCGTTCATCTTTAGCTTGATGAATCGTACGAGATTTTTAAGTAGATAAGTTTTAATTGATGCACCAGTAATAAAACCCAATGTATCAAAGTTAATACAAATAAATTTACTAAATCGTGATGAATTATCATTTTTAACTGTTTTAGCATTATTGAATGCTTTTATGAAAAAATAATGAAAATTTCAAGTTCTCAGATATGTGATGTTTCTGTTTTCTTACCTTCAAGAATTCGATTTGCTTGAACAAGTTAAGAGTCAATTTCACCCTAAAATAGAAAAATATTAAACACAAAAATTTCATTAGCACAAATTCTTACGGACACATCGTTTATTTTATTTGCATATATCTGTTGGTAAATACAAAAAATACAATTAAATAATCATATTTACAGTCGTGGACAAAAGTCCCGCAGCTTGGCTATATAAAGTTTGTTTTCTTGAAATTCCTACTGTAAGAAGAACGTAATGAATTCTGATCGCAAACAAAACTTGACACTCTATTGTCTTGCTCAGACTGAGATATAAGATTTTGGCCTATTGTAAGATAGGGAAAAAAAAGTTTGCAGCCAATTTTCCTACCCATATATTTTTGCAATTACTTGAGTAATTTGAACAAATAAATAGTCATTTTAAAGAGCATTTCAAAGTGCACTTATTGGGTAAAAATAAAGGTCTTAGTTCAAGAAGTAAGAGAGTCAATAAAGAAAGTTTGTTACATACGTTTTTGGTTCTCCAAAAATAACGGATGGGACAGTGTGAGTGTAGGTCAGAGTATTCCTTTCATCTACACTTATACCCACCCACATTCTCAAATACCATCGGCATGATGCAATTGCTCATGTATTTAATTACTCAAAAACTCTTTTAATCACGAAACTGACCCTGCGAACTATTATCATCGCGTCGAAGTACATAGCGTACTCTGAAGAGTCCTAATCCATACTCACAACTATGCAGATAGTAAAGTCAATTGTTTCGTTATGATTTGGAAATTTTTATAGTGACAAGCTGCATACTTGCTTTTTCAAAAGAAAACTTCAAGAAATCGAAAGTAGTTTTCAAATTAGAGACTACCAGCTATTCGACGATGAGATATTCGAAAATGACTTGAATAGTGGAAGTGATGTGTCGATTACTACACTACTACTTAACGAAAAGAAATTTCGCTTGCGTAATGAAACAGATTATAGATAGTGTTTTCAATAAAAACGAAAAGTTTTGTACAAGATTCGAATGACTCTTTCGGTTGGCAGTTCTCAAAAGTGTTGAAAGGGTGTTACGTTAATGTCTTTACAACAAATGGTCAACGATCATATCACCTGAGAAAGATGTCACAGTTAATATCAAAGAATGTATCAGGCGACTTATAGGCATGTAAGTTACTGTAGTTTCCTATTGGAATGTTTGCACTGGAAGTTTAAGAGAAATACTTGACATTCGCTATGTAAACCATTTCCTATATTGTTTTAGTCATTCATACAAAACTATCTTGAGTAGTTTAAGCTAGAAATAGTCGCATTGATTACTTGATCGCCACATATTTATGGGTTCTGTGTAAGAACACCGAAAGTTTTCCAAACGCATGAGAGAAGAGCGTTAACCTTTAGAAGGCTGAAAGAACTGCTCAGTTTCCAGTTTTCTCGTAAGTCTCCAATTCAATATAACTATGTTTCATCGAATCTAATTTTTGGTAGTGTGTAAACTGCATTCGAAAATCATTTTTTCTAAGAGCATCAATATGCTAGGAAGTTAGTGCACTCGGATAAACTTAACTCCATAAGCATGTCTGGTGTCACTAGTCTACAAAAACCTTTTCAAAATAATATGTTAGCTAATCTAAGAACAATAGGTAATGCTTTGAAAATCGTTATGTATCGTGATTTTGATAAGAAAACAGTAAACTGAATGGCAACATATTCTGATTTCTTTAGTTTCTATCTTTCACTCCTATAGGATAATTCATTTTCCCAAAATTGACTATTATTTTAATCTCATGTGCGTCTAATAAAAAAAAAGAGGCTAGTCAAGAGAGATCAACATGTTAGATACGGCCGAGAATTCAGCGATTCGCATCGACGAGCGTTACTTGTTGACGTTAGTTTTGAAAATAAAATTGTAGAAATATCAATAATAAATGTGGAAACCTCGGATTTAAATCCGAGAGTTATGTGTACTTCAAAAAGTGAATGAGACAGATGAGTCGTTCTAGAATATGGGGATATAAAAATTATTCTGGCAAACCTTATCTATAAACACTTGATTTCTATTGGCTACTGCTCAACCAATAGGATTTGGGGATGAACACAGAGAAGATTTGAACTCTTCACCTTGATTTATCCTAAGAAAGTCGTTTTTCCTATAACTTGATTTCTACTGGTTACTGTTCAACCAATGGGATTTCGAGGTGAATGGAGCATAGATTCGAGTTCTCCACCCCAGAAAAGCTCGAACTATCATCTCTGTGATCGAAAGATAGAGCTCTATTTGTGGATCAATTAGAGCGTGGACAAAAACAGAACCGAATTCCGTTTAATTATCTTTGCAATAGCTGAGTTGGCTTTCTTGTTTTCTTATGTTTTATATACCACTTTGTAGCTCGTGAAATTCTTTATCGAATGGTATATAATAGTTGGGGTTTTATTTGACTAGGATACGAAAAGTTTTTTACGAAAGCGGAGATAGGTCGATCTTCGCATAGGGAAAAATGACTATTGTTGCAATAACTCAGCAATGGCTCGGCCAATCATTCTCATCTTCGAACTCGACCGAGATATTGTTGAGACTAAGCTGTGTAGAAAATTTCATCGTGATCGAACTCTCCTTTCAAAAGTTATCGTGTAAACGGACGGACGGACACACTGACCGATTCTAGAGTGTACTCACTTTTTGAGTACACAAAAATGAGAGTATTGGCTTAGGTGTTCAACTGCCCATAATCTTAATGCGTGATCGATTCTTCCATTAATGTGAATGAACTTAACACTTTTGAGCCCAACAACAGAGTAGTAGACTTGGAAATAATGATAAAATTCTAGCAATCGAGAAGTTGGAAACCGAGTCTCGAATCTAAGCTTGGTTTTATTGATCACATTTTATGTAATATGACATTTAATTTTAGCTTTACCTCATCAGTAATTTTTTACGAAATTCTCTGGAGACTTCGTCAATACTCGTTCGTAACGAATCTCAGTCTCCGTTTCACTCTCAAATAATTCCAAACCAAGAATTGAAACATGTACATTCTAATTTGTACCGACTAATTTTTTTTTTCTCTAAATATGTGTACCGTTTCAGATTAGTTCTTTAAGAAAGTAGAAAAGTAATTTCGAACATTTAGATTGCATGCAAGTTTGATATACAAGTAACCAGTCGATAGTGGCTGCTCGAATTAGCGGTGATGCTGGACGAGGAGCTTCTTCGGTAACTTCAAATGAGAGATGTTTTTAAAAGAAGTTCGAAGGGAAAGGTTTAGTGTTTTCGTGGAGCGACCGATTACGATAACGAGGATCGAAAACTATCAAGTGATCTCTGCCAATGTTTTTAGCAGAGTACAGTATTATTTCCCTTATACTCTGCTTTTGAGGATCAAATTAAGTGAGGTCCGAAGTGTTACTCGTTATTTATCATTATTTTTATTGATTTCGAATAAAATTTAAGAATCTTATTATATGATTATATTGTTCTGAATAATTATCAGCACATTACGAAACAAAAAAAAACTTGCAGAATATATGCTCCAACTCCGTATTTTATACACATGTATATGTTTAACCAAAATTAATTTGCTTCACAGATTGCTACTTAGGACACATGATCATTTTCATCTCTATGTATATTTTCTTTTTTCTTACAACAATAGACAAGACAATTTTCTCTTCTTTGATTCTATTTGTCTTCAATTTAACACTTTATTTTTTAGTCTTTCAAAATCTTCCTAGATTACATATTTTTGCATAAGGAAAATATTCTTGTAAAGAAGAGTTCGAACGTTCTATTTTACCAAATAGTATTAATTCATTTATTTTGGTACAATTAATTCGTGTAGCATCTCTTGTGAAATTGTGTGTTACTCGTTTTAAAGATTTGTAATTGATACAAAGGAGAACATTATTTTGCAAATGCGTTTTAGTATCAAATAGAAATTGTTCTATATAATCATCATGGACCTCGACAATATCAAGTGCATTAAGAAAAGAATATTGAATAACAGATAAATTTCGATTATCATTGTTTAATTCAGAAGATTGTTTGCGATTTTGTGATTTATGATTAATCAAACTCAATTGTTCCATAAATGGAAATGATTTCTGAATTCGCAGAAAAAATTCATGTTCAAAAGGATGTTCATCCAATAATAACACTACACGGACATATGTATATAATCCACCAGGAAAATTATTTGTAATACCACTATAATATTGCATTCGAGATGGATATGAGTAAATGTGACATCGGCCTTTTCTTGCCTCTGGAAAATAATTAACATTAGAAATTATATTATTATTTGAAAAGTCAATGAATGTGCATTGACTACCTTCTGTTGATGGTAAATTCACTTGATTACGAATAAGCATGAGTGAGCGAATATAAAATCTAAATTGATTTAATCGTGGCATACGATTAATAATGTTTCTCTTCAAATTGTTTCCATCAATAAATGTTTCATCAACAAAGATCGCAATATACAAACTAAGTTGTTCTAGATTTGACATTCGATAGAGAAGTGGGAGGATTAATTCATCGTAATAATTTGTTTCATAATTACAGGACAGAGAAAAACATTTTAGATTTGGTAAATCGCTCTAAAAAAAAACAATATTTCTTTTGTTATTTGACAACATAGAGGTTTTTCTTGTAAAACTAACTTGATTATGAATTTCCTCTGGACGTTGAATACTAAGCAAATCAACAAAGAGTGTGTTAAGTTGATTAAAACGACCATCGAGAAGATAAAGACAATCATCAAAACATCGAATCTTGATATTCGATTTCTGAAGAGTTGAAGAATGAAAAGTAGGAGGAGGTGGATCATCAAAGCATAATCGAAGACGATTTTTATACGATGATTCATATAATGATAAATAAATTAGACTGGTGAAAACAGTCAAGATATAATCGCATATATTTACCACCGTCAATCTCGTCTCCTTATTATTATCAATTGTAATAAATAGTATTGTAATCTGATTTTTGAAAACATTCGATGAAAGCGTTTCATCTAAATATATATATGCAATATTAGTAATAAAAAAAAAATCTATGCAAGTAATATGAATATATTCAATGATCTACTCATTTATATGAATAAGTTTTATAAATCTTTCATTTTTATAGAATAAAGGACAATTGGATTGAAATATCTTACTAGTAAAAAGACATCGAACTGACTCTTCATCAATATTATAAAGGCCAAGAGCATATAAATTAGGATAATTTGTAGCACATAAAACATGTTTCATGGATGATGATTCAAGATTAAGCCATTTGATTTTATCATGAATTTCAGGCAAAATTTGTAAACAAAATCGATTAAGCATCATATCAGAACAAATTAGATCTATAAAATTATGTGAGAACCATTTGACAAAAGCTAAACAACTTGTAAAAATTGAATCATGAACAATTTTATTTAGTCGTTGATTGACACCATGTAAAGAATACAGTACATCAATATTGTTGAGTTTTTTGAAAATAATCATAAGAATTTCATCAGGTAAATCATTTAGTCCGACACATGAATTCAACATGTCTATTTTCACTTATCTATTCTTTTCAATTTATCAAGGTCAATATTTCGATGCATATGCACTCATCTATTCTATTTGATCGATATCGTTAATACAAACAATAATGCATTTTTCTATAGTCAAAATTGATTATGAATAAATTTATAATTCAAAGAATGTTGTTTTTTTTTTCTCATTTGTCTAATATGTCATATGATAAAAAGTGAGGGTGGGTGTAATAGAATAGAAGAAACACCTACACCCACACCCACACCCACACCCTCTTTCTTCTTTTTTGTTTCTGAAAAAGAAATAATGTATGATTGCTAATACTTTTATTGAATACATAACTAATCGATCAATTTTGTTTTTCCAACTAACATTTCAACGAATGGATGGAAAGAGACAAAAGCATAGAAAACAAAATTTCAACGTAATAATATGAAAAAAAAGATATTGGAAGAAAAATATCGAAAGAGGAGATTGTTAAAATGAAGAATTTTAAAGTTTTTCTCCTGATTGGCTCATATCTGTATCTCAAAAGTGAATCTATTATCTTAGAAAGCTAGAAGAAGGACTAGGTCGTTGAAGATGAGAAGAGAGCAAGTCATAGTAAAAGATTACTTTTCCAGGCCTGTCCATTTAGCATGAACTCGTTCTTCGGTATTTCTGCTTGAAAAAAAAACGAAAAAATTTCTCGAAGAAAGAAGCGAACGTCTATTGGTCCTCTAAATCCATCGTTGCTGTACCAATGTTTGCTTCTCTGTGGTATGTGTATCATAACTATAATTTTTTATATTCAGTCATGACATAAATATCTCTACATTCAACAATTCTTATATCGATGCTTTGTTTTATAAGGTTTTATTTTCGTTTTTTCCTTCGAGTTTTTTCATCATATCAGTTCAAATAATAAGTCAATGAGCTGTATTTAGTGAATATGCAAAAAGATCCTCTAATAAATTGAAATTATTTTCCAATTCTCCAGGTCGAAATCATCTAGTTGGATCCTGAATATTCCAACTGTCGAAAAGCATCAGTATCCTTTAATTCCAGATGATTTCCAATTGTTGAAAATCGTCCGGATCCGACGAAATCCGATGCCATTAAAGCATCTAATTTTGTTTTCGGTGATTATCAGAAAACATTTGAATAGGATTTGTAATGCTATTTATGATGAAGCGAAGCTGGTTTCTACTAAAGTGATTGAAATATATCTAAATCCGACAAAATAGAAAAATTGAGTTTTGTTAATTTAATTAGATTAAAACGTGATTAAAATAGCGTAACATTTATTAATATCTAATCGGATCAGATAAAATATTATTCAATGCCAGGGTTGTGACGATATGAGGAGAGAGGGGGAGGGACGAGAGATACGCACTTCCCGCCCCCGACTTTTTTCCTTCGCCACATTTCTGGTCAGTGCAAAAGGATGCGTGCATTCTCGTTAATGATAAATCAAGTTTTGAAAGTAAACATTTTTTTGATCTTACATGTTTTCCCCTCTACTGGAAGGAGGGTCATACGCCGAGCAAGGTTCGTATGTTCGTAACTTTGTTCGTTCGTTCGCACAGAACGAAAAAATGTTTTTCTAACCTATAACATCATTGGTCTTACAACAAATCGTAAACATAGCCATTAGATTAGTACAGAGCTCCTAATCAAATCCCTCCACTTAAATCAAGTGGCTGCATTTCAGCCAATCAGATCTCAGATGACAGATTTTCAGCCAATCATAGGTTTTCGTGGTTTGGCCATGCACCAATGAGATTTCGAGAGTGGCCATTTGGACCCATCATAGGTTTTCACAGTTTGGCCATGCACCAATTTAGATTTCGAGGGTGGCTATTTGGACCAATCATAGGTTTTCACAGTTTGGCCATGCACCAATTGAGATTTCGACTGTGGCCATTTGAACCCATCATAGGTTTTCATGGTTTGGCCATGCACCAATGAGATTTCGACTGTGGTCATTTGGACCCATCATAGGTTTTCACGGTTTGACCATGCACCAATGAGTTTTCGAGAGTGGCCATTTGGAGGATGGGTGTGGGTGTGGAGTGGGGTGTAAGGTATGGGTGTGG